CACACACACACTCACACACTCCCCCACCCACCCCTACACCGCCCCCCCCGGGGGGACCCTTCGGTGTGCCAGAGATGACGAGGATTATGTTTGGAGGAATGTTGAAAGAAAGAACAGGTGTCTTTGTCCTTCCATCCACCCGAAGTCCAACCCAGGCTGAGCTGTCCTGACTCATGCTGGATCAGCTATCACACACACACACACACACACACAGACTCACAGATTCCAAAAATTCCCCGCTGAAATTCTCCTATCGGGTGTACAAGGCTGGTGAAACAGATCTGTATGTGTGTGTGTGTGTGTGTGTGTGCGTGTGTGATAGCTGATCCAGCATGAGTCAGGACAGCTCAGCCTGGGTTGGACTTCGGGTGGATGGAAGGACAAAGACACCTGTTCTTTCTTTCAACATTCCTCCAAACATAATCCTCGTCATCTCTGGCACACACAAAGCTCACACATCGGGGGTGAAATACCACACAACACTCAAACTTTGAACCTCGGTCGTAAGGGAATCTGGTTTCAAAACTGAAATAAACAAGTTTTACTTTAAGCATCAAGTCAAATTATAAAAAAATATTCATATACTTCACTGGATGTGCTAATAGGTAAACTTTGCATTTTAACGTACATGACATAAACGTGTAATTAAAGGCCCCAACACTGTATTTATGGTTCAAATTGACCATTTTAGCCAGTTGAGCACTCATGGCTTGAAATGTTCCATACACTGGTTTTTCCCACCTGGCGTTGTTTCAACAGCGTAAGTGATTCGCTGATTGTTCAGCAGGTGACCAGAATCAAACAGTTTTCAGGTTAAACAGTTTCTTTTAAAATATGTTTTATAGTTTGATTTTGTTTTTGTTTGAACAAATCCTCTTGTCCCATAACCATTTTATTTATAAGTATCCAAAGACCGAACATTTTTATTAATTGATTAACTCTCAAAGTCAGTTTCTGTAAAGGGAGAAACCCAGTTTAAGCCTCCGTTGGGCTTAAACTTCTCACCAGTGAGTGGTGAAATTATTCACATCCATCACAGTGGTGTAGTCTACGTTTTTCTAGTGGGTGTACCGTGGTAAAATTCGTTTTACGTTGGACGTTGGACACCGTTGAAGCCACAAAGAGCGAATGTCCAATGTCCAACGTAAAACAAACTTTACCACGGTCGGCCCATATACTGTGCTTCGAAACCAAAGTACACTGGTTAGTAGAATGTAATTGTTTAATTTATTTTTGATTGAACATTTCCAAATTTCTCTGATGCTTATATTTGAATAAATGAACAACAAATTTGTACAACAGTTGGCTTTGTATTAAAAACATGTGCCAGAATTTATAAAACAGTATCAAACCTGTATTACTTAATACAAGTATTAGGTAACAAGTACAGAAGTATTAATTATGCAATAATTCTCTGGATAAGTGAATGTAATAAACAAATGCTGCATACTGATAGATTGTTACGGAAGTGTTTAACTGCCGTTTAATGTATCAATGACACGTGCCCAATGTGATGTCATGTATCATTGGGCACTTTGGTATACTGAAATTCTTGAACTTTTCTACTGAGTATACTCTGTATGCCCACGTATCACGTAGACTACACCACTGGTCCATCGTGCATCCAAAACCTGGGCTGCTCAAAGCATTTTCAGCTTTTTTAATGACATTTATAAATGTTAATATTGAAGTTAGTTTCTGCTTTTATAGCTTCCTGATCTGTCAAATCAAAGGGAATGAAATGATATTCTTCACTGCATGTCCAAAACCAACTTCGTTGTCATCAAGTCTTTTTTTTTTTCTTTAACCAAGTTGGTCACGAACTTGGCTCAAAACACAATCCATGATGCTAAAAGTGCAACCACTTTAGTCACCTTTATCCAATAGTTAAAATGAATATGAGTTAAAAGCTTTTCTATGTTGCATTAACTTTTCGGACTTCATGTCCTCTTTCTGTGTACAGCCTATGGATACACTCTTTTACCTCACACACAGCGGTCTACATGCACGCCCACTCGATCAATAAAGACAGTTGCGTATTCTTTTCAAACTGCACTGAAAGAACACTTAACCTGTGACCTCTTTGATTTAGGTTTTTTTTTTTTTTTTGAGTTTAAGTACATACTGAGACATATTCATAGAGAAAAGACTGATTAAATGAAATAATGTACTGGGACTTCTGTTCAAACTTGCAACATGAATACAGGATTCACACTGACTTCAGGTAGACTTGCCACACTATGAAGGTGCTGTTGCTTTTGTGTCTATAAAATATAATTTTTTTCCACTTAACAATCTCTACTAAACTGTGGTTACAATGCCAAAATATATATATATATAAAAAAAAAATTCAATACAGATGGATCTACCAGATATAAACATGTTTAAACGGCCAACTTACTGCTAAGTGTCTGCAGAGACATAACAAAGCTGTGAGGCTGTTTTCTTTGTTTTTCTTTTCATATTCGTCTGGTGTTTGTTTTAAGAGCTTTGCCTGCTTATTTTTAACTGCTCTCAGCTTTACTCGCAGACAGTTACACACCCAATATACAGTCGTTTAACACTGGCCACCGAGCAGTTTTAGTGAAGCAGTTGTCTCTTGTTGAACGTGTCAGGGTTAAGATGTGGTCAGCGCTCTTAGTTTGTTTCTTTTTTCTCTGTGTCGCAGGAGCACGTTCTGGCTGCGTGTGCACGACTTCTGTTGCCCTGTGACTTACGTTCAGTGTTTGATCAGAACACACAAATTGATCTGAGCAAGAGAGCGAAAGGAGGAGGATGGTGTTAAAAAGAAAAAAGGAAATAAGATGACATTGTCATTTGCATGTTAACTGTCTGGCCTGGAAAGTCTTAGAAACAACAAACACAGATGACAGTTTTGTTCTTCTTTTTGCACTGGTGGTCATTTCATAATTCATGTACGTTTTGTAGAACAAGCCCTGCTTTAACAAGTGGCTGCTAGAATTTCATATTCTCTTTCAATGGTAAACTTAAAAAGAAGAATTTTAAGATTTTAAAATGACGATGTGTAGGCATCTCATGCATGATTTGAGTGATGTTCAGAAATCTTTATTTTCTGTCACAAAATGATTTCTGAGTAGGTGTAAGTGATTCATTAATCATGCTTTACAAATGCATCACTGTGGAGGAAACCCACCAGCAGAGGATGAGAAGTATCTTGTAGCGCACATTACTTGAGTAGGAAGAAACACTGAAGTGCAGCTTTTCAGCCAATATTAACTAAAAACTGGAAATAAACTCATTTGCAGTATGATGAAAGGTTTCAGAAGTAATATTTTATTACAGATTTATAAATGTCTGGTGTTATGCACCGTATTCGGTGTTATGCAATACTGACTAAGTGAGGGCAGGCAGGCTAGTGCAGCAGAGATTATCAGGCCTATCCATCTCTGCTTCATGCCGTCATCCAGACACGCCTGAGCATCCATAATCTGATGATTTAGTCCTGTTTGTTAACCTCTCTCAATCTCTGCCTAACTCTTATTTTCTGCTGTCGTACAGTCGCACAAAGCAAATACTGGCTTCATATATAGATTTGCATCTCTTTCCATGCGCTTGCAAAGTAAAAATAACACGAGCCAAGTGAGGATAAAAATAAAACCCATGTCCCTCGTAAGACAATATGCTCATAATAATCTGTGCTGAAACTAATTAATGTTGTAAACCTGTTGATTTAACTTTTGAATAATCTTTAACTTTCATTAAGCTTCAATACAATTGAGTGTATTTTAAGTATTCTTTTTCCAGACATGTAATGGCATAAACAAAGTACCAGAAACGTCATTTTAGTGTCATTATAGAAACGTAAAAACGGAACATCCACAATCAGTTCATTGCCAACACAGTGTGATGCTTTGTGTTATTATTTGCAACAAAAACTTTCCAAGTTCTATCAGAAGTTGTCATCAGAACTGATGCGCATTGACGGCATCACGCAGTGGCATGAAAACAGGGAAAAAGCTGTTTCCTTTTTCAGCCAACCTTCTCATTTATGTGTCTCTCGGAGCTGTCAGGGTAGCTGTTGATCAAACAAAATCCAGTCCAGGCAAAATCTGGCGAAATACAACATTCGAATAGTCTGCTTTGCTCAGTCGTGTCAAATTTTATTGACCACCCAGGCGACAGAATGTTAGTGGGAGACTTGCACAAACATTTTCAAACACATGCAACGGCACAGAAACCTTCTTCAGACACGTACATTTGGTTGCACACATGCTCATGAAAACAGTCATATACCCACGCCCACGGTCTCATTCTGCGACTCTTTAACTCTGCATTTCCTTTGAGCAGAGGGTGGAGAGCGATGGAGGGACAGACAAGAGAGATGACTGGCCATGTTGTTTCCCCTCTGGTCAGAGGAAAGAGTGACTGCATGAGAGAGGAAAGAGGTGGAGGAGAGGTGGAAAGGTTTTTCATATAGCTAACTCCTCCATGAAGCCCACTTACATGACAAGTTTCAGTTGTAGTGTCAGTGTGAGTCTGTTTCCTGCACAGAGCTGCTGTGGTGATGCGGTGACCTAATGACAGTGGGTTAAACAAAAGCCAACGAGTCATTGTTAGGATAAAAATACAGCAGCATCCTGGGTTGAAGCGTGTTCTTTTAATGTTGTAGTTTGTAATATTGCTTCTTGTTGTCTGTTTGCTTTTTCCTGCCCTTTATTATATGCTAAAACACTCAGTGCACTCAACCACATATGCTCTGTGAGCACTTTAAAGATTTTATTGTGATGGGTAAACTTTTTATCTGTGTGTTGTATTTGAGTCTTGGCCAGGACACTTGTAAGGGTCTTACCTGGTTGAATAAAGGTTGAAAAGACTTAAAGTTTTGTCGACATCTTCAAAAATGTCTTGTTTGAGTTGCATGTCCTTTGAAAAGATAACTCACTTTATAATGACAGTGTCTGCCATCCACCTCAATTTTATTGTTTCATGATGAGTTTAAATCGCACCCCACTAACCCATTACTCTCTTGATCCATCCAGGCTTTGCCTTTCCAGAATGGGCTTACAAGCCAGAGTCGAGCCCCGGGTCCAGACAGATCCAGCTTTGGCACTTCATCCTGGAGCTGCTCAGGAAAGAGGAGTATCATGATGTCATCGCGTGGCAAGGGGACTACGGCGAGTTTGTCATCAAGGATCCAGACGAGGTGGCCCGGCTTTGGGGTGCCAGGAAGTGTAAACCGCAGATGAACTATGATAAGCTCAGCAGGGCACTGAGGTGAGCTGACAGCTGGCTGAAAACGCTTGCTTTAGTGTTTTGTCTGTTTGTGGGAGAGTGTTCATCCTTACCTATGTTGTCCCGTTTCTGACATTCATATTAGCGCTTGTGAGAAACGGCTAAATAAACCAGATGAGGTGTTTTCCTGAGGAACTAATTGTGCTGCACCACAAGAATGTGAGGACTTTTAAAACTGATAAAGTTGCATAAACAAGGTTAAGTGTTGCTGCTAACCAAAGTTTTTTTTACTGTGTCCTCTTTGAACAAAATAAAACGACTAGGTTGGACAAAGTTCATAAGAAATATTATTGTGAATGAAAATTTAACTATTTGGATCTGCTTTGAATCTAGCAAAACTAATTAAGCTTGTAAATGTGAGTGTATTCGTCTTTGCGAGACTTTTATTGGTCAACCTTCTTGCAAATGTTTTAACATGGATGGATATTTAATGTGGTTTTAGGCCATCATTGTTTGAGCAGCAACTGGAGGTGCCATAGAGAAGTAATAACTGACAGCTAATATAAAAAAAAAAAATGCCTTTTTTAGTTTGCTTAAAAACATATGTTGTAGCATAAACAAAATGTGTTGTTTTGGGCTAAACATGATAATTATAGTGCAACAAAGATGCAGAGACAAGAGATAAGAAAGTCAGTCAGGTGAAAAGAAGTACACCTTTGTGGCCTGTTTAGTCAGTAAACAGGCTTGAATTATTTATTTATTCGTAAAAAGAACGAAAAAACAACAACAGGGGAACCACCATTCATTAGGTTTGAGTTAGAGGATTGTTATTTTTTTATTTTTATTGTGGACATGCTTCCAAACTGAGTCAAAAACTGTAAATGAGATGTGCATGAACTGCACAGTTCAGCAGCATGAATGTCATGAGCCACACTCTGTGAGCAAAATTAATTAAATTTAGTATCCAAGTATGAAAACATCACCTACATTCTTGTGTGACCCCTTTATCCGTGGTCATCTGAGGTAACCTCTCTGGTGTGACCAGACCAAGTTTAGCTGCTGTTATGCTCCAATTAGAGTTACAACACTAAACCAATTGGTTAATTTGACCTTTCCACCTTTTGGTTCCAGTTTTATCCCCAACACCTTAACGCTGCCAAGTCCATTAGCAAATTAGTGACATGGTTTTGTAATAAGCTTAATATATATATATATTGTTTTTTTTAGGATGTTACTTAAGCAAAATCATGGTAATATTGTGTGTTCATATACTGTATAATATGGTATGTTGTTACATTTATATCCATACATACATACATACATTATCTTTACCCACTTCTTCCTTTTCGGGTCTCGGGGTCATGTTACATTTATAATGTAATGTAAATCACGTTGAGCAACAAATAAGCTAAAAGTTGTTTAACAATCTGAGCCACACAGCAGCTTCTTGTTTCTTTTTGTTTTTTTCCTCCAACCTGCTCAAACATTCTGATTATCAGTCATTTCTTATCGTATCTCTCAAAGATATTGTCATAATTGAATATTACCGAGATCACATTGGAGAACCTTTCTTTTTACTTGATCCCACATGTAAGGAAAGCATTTCATTCAAGGTGTTTCCCACTTGTGTATTGATAAAGAAAGTGGAGATTAGGTTAAGTCTTTTAAAGAAAGCCACATAAAGAAGGGAATTGCCTTGAACTCCTTAATTTAGCTCATCTGCAGTAATTAACTGGTTAGATTAAGATAATGTCTGTTCCAGAAGGAATCCCATGAGGACAGTGTGTGAGCATTAACAAGGGCTGCTTATGTTTACGCATACATATAAACCGGTGCAATCTGGATCCCCAATAGTAAAAAATAAAAAGGAGCATGTCTTGTGGTCAAGTTCTGTATTTATAGCACGTTCATCCTCCGGCTTTGGAGCTTAGGCTTCAGTTGGTGCTTGTATTCAGTGTGTCTTAATAGTGACCTCTGATGGAACCGTCCTCAGAGGCTGATTACCAGCCAGTTTTCTGCACGACACTCTGGCTTCTTTTACACTTGTATCCTCATCTACCCGCTTACAGACGGATCATCTGTCTTCGTGTCTATACGTGACAATCATCACGCATGTTATCACCTGATATGACAGAGGCAGCAGGAATGAGTGCTCTCAAGGCACTTGTCAATTTTAATGTGCCAAAAGATTGGTGGAGTTCTAAAAGAGGCACACACTCACACGTGTGCATGCTAACAGTCCCCATATGTAGCAAACTGTTGGAGAGCAGGCCTCCTTGTGCCCCTCATATGGAGAAAACCTGGAGTCTGCTAATAATGGAGATCACAGTCAGCATGTGGCAGCTGGCCTACACACACACACACTTGAAAAGGCGTGCTTGTTTTGAAGTGTTCCTTTTTATCACTTTGCTTTTGTAATTGTTATTTTTGCTCCCGTGTTCTTATTCTTTCCTGTCTGCCATACACATGGTGGAAAATCCCTAATCAGGGCTGCTTTATTGTGTGTGGACGCGTTTGTTACGCGCCGGACGCAGCCTCGGCCCGTGCGTCATTCCGGCCGCCCGCTCCCACAGCCGCTGTGAAATTCCCACTCCTGTTGAGAGGATTACACTCACACTAGGCAAGTGTGTGCTCTTGTGGAAGAGTTGGATGAAGACAAGATTTATTTATTTATTTATTTGTGATTCAGAGCAGTTACAGATACTTTCTTGTTTCATCAGGTGTATCAGAGCAGCAGATAATGAAGTTTGGTTGCTGTTCCACAAAATATTACTTCTACTTATTCTTTTTATTGATTTGGGTAAAAGTTACAATCCAGTTCTGGCTGACCTTTCTGGTCTGGATAATGAATGAAGGAGTGAACCTGATCCTGCTTTAGCTTAATTAGTGAATGATTTAAATAAATTACGTATAAAAAAAGCCACAACTGCTTATTTTACTTCTGATTTCCTTCACAGCTACCTTGTTCTTGTGGAACAGAATTTCACTGATGAGTAAAGGGAGGGTGGGGAGGGGACAAAAATGAAGCCTGTTACCAATCATGCATTGCAGAGTGCTTTCCTAATGAGTGTAATCATGCTAAGAGGTCCCAGCTCCCTGAGACCTCCAGACCTCCATGTCCGCCAGTCGTCAGCCAGCGCCGGCTGTAACTTGGTAGTCAGAGGTCAGGGTGACTGCCACACACAGCTGGCAAAGATTAACAACATGGCAAATACCCTCATTCGCATACACAGATGCACCATTGTACAGCCCGTTGCCTGAGCAGGCCTGCTTACACGTTTGCTTCTTTATTGTAATGGGCCACCATGTCTGTAAGGAGCTGTCACTGATCCACAAAAACACAGAGAAAAATGTTTTGTTGCTTGGCTACATGACATTATTTATATACTACCTTTCTTTATGAACAAAGTTTGAGTATGAAGGTGCAAGGCCACTTTTATTTTATTCTTTACCAAACTGGTGGCGCTGGAAAATGCAGCTACACGTGCATTACTCGCCTTGCTGGCTGAACCTGTTCAAAGGTCAGAGGTTCTCTGTTGCAGCTCATTGTATGGAAACACCCAGAGCTAAAAAGAACGTGTAGAGGGAGCATCCAGCGTTTACTGTATGTGCATTGTGTTCCCATTGTCACTATCTTCAGCGCGTATGTGTTCAGCTTACATGAGTGCTGTGTGTACTTCTTTGTTCCTGGGTAAATGTGACCTCTGTTTTCTATGACAGCGGGACGTGTACGAGTTGCACACAGAACATGCAGCAGCTTCACAAATCACACCCCTAGTCCAGCCCCCATGTTCACACCAACACATTTCATTTCCTTTTTGAATCAGTTTTCAAATGTGTATTTTATTTTTTTTTTTAACATTTTTTACGCAACGGCCTTTGACGTGTGCAACGTACACACGAACACACCTGAGTGTGAGCAGCTGGTGTGTGTGTGTGTGTGTGTGTAACAGCCGATGCTGACGAAAGAGGCAGAAAATAAACACGGGACGCATGGGGAGTATTGTAATCCCAACTTCCTGTCACAGTCAGCCCCTATTTACAGCTCAACAATGGGCAAGGCACAGCCTGTCCACGCACACGCAAGCGGGCTGGCACAACTCATTTTTACTGCAGACGTTTGTGTGTTTGTGTGTGCGCAGTGATACGGGAAAAGACTACTGAGCTTTAAAAACAACATCCAATTAAAGTTGTTTAAACAGTTGATCGCAGAGGAAGTAAACCTTTTTCAGCTGAATTGAATGTACAAACACGTTTTAGTGTGCGCTATTATTCATCTTCACCTGCATCATTCACCTGTTTGACGCTTCCTGTTTTAAATCCTTTGGAGTAGATGTCATTTCTGAGATATAACTTTTTTTTGCACAAATCAAGTTTAGCAAAGCAAAAAAAAAAAAAAGTACACATTGCAAACCTCACCTGTGGTGAGCCAAATTGCACAAAGTTCTGGAAACCTAAAAGATTACCGGTACTTGGTGTCTTTGTCCTGGTGTATCTATTTTTAATTGTTTTTGAGATCTGATCCAGTTACCTTGTCTGATGCAACGTCCCGACAAGTAGGCAGGCAGGCTTTATAAGATTAAAGGTGTAACACACTAGTTTCCTTCTGACTTAACTTTTAAAAGTTTATACATTATCTCTGGTGTTCTTATAGGTTGCTAACGTTTTCAAAGGGTAACAAAAATAAACTTAAAAGTAAACATATTGTTTTTGTGATTTGATGCTTTCAAGTGTGATTAATGAGCAGTGTGAAAAGTGTCTGTGGTTATAGATTGTGATTTAGCTCCAGCACTCTGCTGCTTTGATCATAACGTTCTGAACTGTGGCCTGTCTGTTGTAATTGCAGACCTAATCCCTGGCCTAGAATCACTCAGTTACAACTGCGTTGATAAAAAAAAAACACCTCCCCTTTGTCTTTAGAACGGCTTTGTTTGAACTCTTTATTTACTCTGATTGTTCAGTCTACGTGTCAGTTATCAGGGAGTTGAAAACAACAACAAAATAATAATAGAAAAGCTGCAGAAGAGAAGTGTGTGAGGTCA